CTTATACGATACACGAAACTGGATGGGTATCGTTTCTACGTTGAACRATCCGAGCAAATACAAAACTATACACAAGTTAAAYCGAGTACAGCTGATCGACGATTCATTTAGTTTTTCACAAGTTGGTGATATTGACTATGAAATTACGTTTCAACTTTTGAAATATCTTAAACATGAAAACGAATACGCTCCGTGGATTGCTGCATTTCGGGGTTTGAATCAGATAAATAAATTAATGAAAAGGACTCTAAACCAAGAAATATTCCAAGTAAGTTTAAAACCAATTTTTATTTCATTATTAACTATAAACGTTTGCGCATTTAATCAATTAGCTATTTATATCCATAAATAACACAGCTGAATATACGTTAAAARTCATTAATGATATATAAGTATAGTTTAGAGTAATAATAGAGTTAGGGTTTCCTAGACCCGATAAGTCACTGTGAGCAAACCAAGATACTGCTATTTTGCTCTATCCGGAATCATTTAATAAACTGGGTAATTTCTGGAAATGAGTATTGACATAACGATTTCAATCGTAAGTTCATTTTTATGGATTTAGTCAACTCCTAAAAATTAGTATTAATTATAATTTTCAGATCTATGTGAATTGAATATTGTATTCATTACTAACAAGTTTTGAATTGACACACCACCTTTGTACATTTTTCAGTGCACAAGTTCTTTCTGTAGCTCCACTTTTACATTGTATATTTATACATTTAGAAGATTAATTTTCAGATGGAAGAATCAAAAATATGCAAAACAAAATTTCCTAATTCGGTACACTACATAACTAATAACGAATTTTTAAATGGATAACAGTAATCCAATAATGATTTGTTTTCTCATGCAGTACARTTAATCAATATTTTTTTAAGTCTCGAATTCCTATTAATTTTTATTATAATATTTTTAACATKAATTTGTTGTATTTACTTATTGTATTATTGTAATTTAAATTAACGTGGTTTCAGAACTATATGCAACGTATACTGTCGTCGGTGTACTGCAAATTCCTAGACATGACAGTTGAACTTGACGGTTTTGAAAAAGTAAGTTTTAAAAATATCGTCACTACGCATGCCTGTCATTACCAAATAAAGGAATGTACCGAACAAGCTCTGGACTTGTTTAGAAAATGGATGAAAATTACGGATCCAGATAATGATAATACGTGAGTTAAATCAATGTTTAATTTATTGAACTAATTAAAAACTGTAATTCAAATTAGATTGCCGAAAGAACTGAAACCAGTTATTTACTGTCAAGCGATAAAATATGGAGGTGAAGACGAATGGAACTTTTTGTGGGAACGTTATCAGCGTTCCAATTTGGGGTCTGAAAAATATAATATACTCTTAGCATTAGGATGTAGTTCAGAAACTTGGTTACTAAACAGGTATTAATATCATATTAGCGTCATATGGACAGCACAGTGAAACATTATTTTTGTGTTAGATATTTGAATTGGTCACTGGATAATTCAATTATTCGTAAGCAAGACGCTGCCACAGTGTTCAGTGTCATAGCGAGCAATGACATTGGATTTTCTATAGCAAAAGACTTTTTGTATCATAATATTTCAACTATATATGAATAGTAAGTTATCGTTAAAAGTTTAGTAATACAATAATRTTAAGTTGAAAGCTTATAATTATTATTTTAATTTGTAAAATTTTAGCTACCAACCTCCTGGTGATCGTGTGGGTAGATACGTACAAATTATAGGGTATCAAATGAAAACTAAAGAAGAATTAGATGAGGTGATAAAAATAACTAGTTTAATTTTTAAAAATCAAAAGTTTCATTGGTATGCTTTTTTTGTTACAGATCCAATCATTTATTAATAAATCGTCAGGTTATTTAAAAGAAGCTGATTTGATTATCAACCAGACAATAGAGACTATTAAGATGAAAATTGAATGGACTTCGAAGTTTTATAATAAAATTGTAAATTACATATTACAATAATYATTAACAATGTTACGAACGGGCTTAAATACAGACGCTTCRATTAAAATTGTTACATAATATAATATCCATAAACAAGGTTAATAGAAATAATAAATATTTATATATTAAAAATGTTTAGCTAAGTATATATTTTTTCTTCATTATATGACGTAGTTACCTAATACTTTTTCCTAAGTTGTATCACAAGCTGAAAGTTTCAGATCAAAATAATTTATTTATATCTGAAGTAAACTAAACTCATCATATTTAAACGTCATCAAATATATTCATTTATTTTTCACAAGTAACATAATT